AGTAAGTTCCCTTAGAATATACAACATAATGACAATTGTCTGGCATTAGAAATAATTAGGAATAAATTAAATTACAAAGTTATCTACATCTTAAATTAAAATAAAGAAAAGGCACTAGTAGACTAATAAAATTATAGATAAATTCAGATGTGCGAGTTCACATGTTTGTACACATAAACAATGTGAATGATATATAATTATATGTAGGATAACATTAAATGCATCTGACAGCTCTGAAAAATGTAAACATTTCTTTACACATATTCGGAAGATTAATTGCTGAGGAGATAGATAAATAAATTATGTTTAAATTTGAGGTCAAGGATAAGGATTTGGGTATGGTGGTTGGTAGGGAATTCCAAAACAAGATAGCACGTATGACAAAGGACTTTTTAAGAAAACAGCTTTATGAGAAGGATTAAACAGGTTGGAGGTCTGGGATCTCGTGTTGAACAAATGGAAAGAGGAACAAGAGGTTAACAAATCAAGAAGGTAAGATGGATTTTTGTTTGAAAAAGGAATACACCTAGGAAATATTGCCGTCAGAAGACTGGATAGAGCCACTTCAACTCACCATACCAACTGGAGACTTGGGAGCGCCTGGGGACTCGAAAAATAAATTAATGGAACAGTTCATCAGTCTTTTTAATCTGATCTCAAGCCCACTAGACAGTCCACTGTACACAAGGCAGCTATAATAGAAATGAGTGAGGAAACTAGGAGCTAACGGATTTTAAGGGGCATGGAATCTCAGGAACTGCTTGTGTGTAGCAATGGATTTTCGGATTATTTAGGAAATATGATTATTTCAGGACTGATGTTGATCAAACACTACCCTAAGATATCTAACGGAAGTGTGAAAATTGATTGGTAGCCGATTGAGGTAAAGTAGGGGATAATAAGGAATGGAATTAATCAGATGCTTGGAACCAATGAGAATGGCTTTGGTCTTCTCAACATTCAACTTTAAATGGTTGCCCAAGTATTGATACTATCAATGTCTTCTTGAAGCCTGCGGATTATCTCAAGCATCTTGGTAGAAAGAAAGCAAAGGTAGATAAGGAGATCATCAGCAATAAGTGATATAGTGAATAATGGACGGAATCGCTGATGTAGGTTGAGAAAAGAGTTGGAGAGAGCGAATATTCCTGAGAAACACCGCGAGTTAATAAGAGGGGGCAGGAAGGAGTTTTATTAGGTATGATGATTGTTTGAACTGTTTGATACAAGAAGGAATGGAACCACTTTAGAGAACTATTTGATATGGAAAGGATGATTTCGTGATTGACTGAATCAAATGCTTTTGAAAAATCAAAGAGAACCAGGATAGAGATTTTCTGTTTGTCTGTGGAGAAATGAAGGCCTTGGGTAATTTTCAACAGAGCAGACTGGGTGGATCGGAAACCAGACTGGAGAGCTTTTTGTTCTAGAAAGGTGTTAAGCTGTGTATGGAAAATTCTTTCAAGAGGTTTTGAAAGATTGGAGAGAATGGAGATGGGTCTGTAATCGGAAACTTTGGAGGGAAGTGGAACTTTGTTCAACAGGTGGACAATAATTTTTTTCCAAACTTGAATTTTGTAAGGAAAAATTGGAGATATGCAGTAGGATAGGAAAGATGACAGGGAGACATAGTTTGATTAACTTTTCAGGAATTAGATCCTGGCCATAGTCATTTGTTCTGGATTTTAGGACAGAGGAAAGTAGGTCTTCTGTTGAAGCAGTTACAAAATAGAAATTTTCAGGGTCAAAGGAAGTTTTTTTAATGCAGTATGAGGAGAAAAGTGGTAATGAGTCAGTGTCGGTAAAGTGGGAATTCAGTTGATCAGATGAAATAGGATAGAATGTACAGGTTTTTGACTTTACTACAGAGAGATTTTTACGGATTTTCCATTTGGACTTAAGATCTGAAGCTTGTGATAAGGAAGTGTGAAAGAATTGTGCCTTAGCACGTCACAAGGAAAATTGGGTAAGATTTCAAAGAGTCTTGAAAAAGAAGTAGTCATCCGGATCCCGTGTGGGTCTAAAATGCCTCCTTGCAGCTTCTCTTCTCCTCATTAATTCTCTAATTTCTGGTTTAATCCAGGGAGCAGGAGGGCGATTGAAGGTTGAGGTCTTTAAGGGTGGGTGTTGATTAAGGAATATAAGAAGATTAGAGGAAAGACACTCCAGCATTTCATCAATGGAGGAATAGGAATAGATGGGATCTAAAGAATGGGCTGGTGTATCGAGGATAGGATTTAGTTTTTCAGAGATGAAGGAGCCAAGATCCCGCCATGTGATTTGCCTGGGCATGGACTTAGGAGTCGGGAAGTTATAGGAAATCTTGATGAGGTCATGATATGAAAGGAAAGAGACCGGATTCTGGGAGGAGTAAGTTTTGAGAGGAATCAATTAAAAAAAGATCGGGCCTTGTACTTGAGAACTGGGTGTGGTGAGTAATTTGAGAAGGAACGATAAATAGGTCAAGAGAATGGACAGAATGTCGGGAGAGGGAGGGAGACTTGTGGAGGATTTTTGCCCTCAGATTTTTATGAACATAAAGACCAATAGCCAACACCTGTTCAGTCTATCCAGTCAAGCGGTGTAGTTAGGGATAGATACAGAGGAGAAGGACATATTAAGTTTGAGTCAGGTTTCCGTAACAGCAATAATATAGTAAAAATTGTAGAGAAAATAATCTTGGAATTCATCAAAGTGGGCCGGAAGCGATTGAGAGCTAACATGGCACACGTTAATAGGATATTAGTCATTTAGGATAAAGAAAGATATGCATCATTGAAAATCTGGAAAGGAAAAGGACAATCATAAATTAGTGAACTTGAGTTTCCTAATACCAAGAAAATACAGTAAAACAAGACAATTGATAGTGAGATTTGACAAAATAAAAAGTATTTACAACTGATAAAAATGAAAGACTGTTAACTCTAGAAAAAAAAAAAGGAAATAATAAAATTAAAATAAAGAGAAACATAAAGACTATGTGCGGATATATAAAAAAATAATGTATATAAATATTACTATTATTATTAAAATATTAAAAAGAACATAAAATAATATTCCTTATAGGGAAAACAAGATATTGAGAAAGATATGAAAAATAAAGACAAAAAAATTCTGGTGACTACCTGCAATCCGTCGTCTTTTGGCCATCTAGAAAACCAAATTTGATTTTTCCAGCGCCCTTTTCTGTCTAGCCAGCGAGTAAAGATGGCGGTTGCTTGTGTTCATTTCTTCCCCAATGTAGATCGCTCTCCCAGCTGAGGTGCCTGGTGGTAATGTCCATTTTTATCCTTCAAAGTCATAAAACCGCATCCCTGATCGTCTGGTGGACAAAACGCACGAAGACTGACGTTGGCCGTGTGTCCTCTCCGCTAGGAGGCTTTCTCTCTACCAAGTCCAGGTCCTCAGAATTAGTCTTGATACCCAGGGCTGCCCCAACGGACAAAACTATCCCCTCAGGCATTTCCCTGGTCTCTGTGGGAATCCCTCTTAGCTTAATCCAATGCTTGTTCTGCATAGTTTAGCCTAATCTCCATATTTTTTATTTCTGATTTGTGGCTATTATTTTCCGGTAATAATTTTTCGATTAACTCTTTCTGCCTTTTGGAACATTCTTCCATTGATTTGAGTCTCTGAGTTTTCGAAAGACAAACGTGTTTGTCTGTCAACGGTGCTCTTGAGATCTTTCATGTCTTCTGTAATTTTTCCTAGCTCTGTAAGAACTAATGCAAAGTTCTCTTCTATGCTGCCACTTGGATTAACTATATACTGCTTTGTTGTTTTCACTTGTGGCTTGCAAGTGCGACAGCACCATTGTTTTTTTTTTTACTTCTCAACTTCAGAAATATTAGCACATTTACTATGAAATATATTTTTTCAGTTAAAGCATGCTAAGGCAGTTTTCTCTTCCCTAGTTATTGCTAATTTATATGTTGGACACAGTGCCATAGATGTGGGATAGAACTAAAGGCTATGGAGCGGTAGAGAGGTGAGCGGTGGGGGAATGCAGAGAGTTAGTCCCTTATCAGTGTTCAGTATAATGCCTAGTCTAGTCTCTTGATTAGCTACAACAGTAGACAATCTGATGTAGTGTTATCCACAAAATCTGTAAACATCCCACTGAGTATTTTTAATAATGTGATAAATATATTACTCACAAAATGTAATTCCTGAGTACACTATAGATTAAAATATCAAACAGGCACAGAGAAATGCTCACTGATTGACGGCAGAGCTCAGACTCGATCAGTGATGAATTTTAATTAAATTCATTTAGGAAAATAGTTGTTTACAAACATTAGTGCTGCCAATAAGTGCCATTATTTAGTTTGTATGTGTACCTGAATTTATGTAATTTCGATAAAAATTATGTATATAAAGTTTTTGAAGTTTATTTCTTAAATCTGTGTTGTTTTATTAATCTATTAATTTCATTTGTAACTTGTTCAGAACTGTTTCTAGGTCTATATTAAATGGTAAAGAAAAAGTATTGAAACTCAGTACTTTTTTCTGCTCTAAGTATTTTAAATTATGATGAAAATTCTGTAAATGCTGGAAATAGTTTTAGGTATATTTTTTAAAACTCAGATAGTGAAATCTTTGAAAGGCTGTAAGTAAAATCTGGTGGGCCGCGGGTTGCTCATTCCTATTCTAATACATCATGCTTCTGTAAAAAGTTTATAACTAAAAAAATAAACTTTTTTATCCTTCTATGATTTTGTTTATATTTTGTTTTCATTTCAGTGATCTATTTAATTTAATTTTTTAAATCATTACAATTAGTCAAATCACATAATATGGTTTGCATGATGCTAAATGTGTATTAAATAAACAACTCTTCCATAGAGACTATGGAAGAGAAAAATAAAAATAATAATAAAATAAAATCATTTAAAATTTTAATGAAAGTCAAATTGTTTTAATAATTTAACTAGTATAGATTTCTAGTAGGATTTTTTCTTTTTTTTTTTTTACAATTCTAATAAAACCTTTAATATTAGGAAAATTGAAATCGCTGGTGGCCGTGAAGTTTTTAGTCAAAGTCGATGTAAGGCTATTCGAAAATCACGTTCTGATGACAAAATGATAACTCGTAAACAAAAGTCTTCCTATGAATCTGGAGCTATTTGGGAACTAAGAAATAAGTAAGTACTTGTTTCGATTATTTATTCCTGGAAGGTTTGAGAACACGTTGGTTAAGAAACGTCGTTGCATTTTGTAATTTATTTGCAAATATTTGACTTAGTGTGAGATCTAAAATGTGATGTTAAATGTTTTTTTCTTGAACTAGTTTTGCCCTCTGAGGCATGATTTATAGAGAACAAAATTACAATTACTTTACTTATTTTAAATTTGTCACTTTTCAAGCTTTCAGTTTTCTAATTATAATTTTTAATTGAAAGCAACTAAATGTCATCTATCTGATTTATCATATATTTCTTATTCAACACACCACTGCTATTTTTCACTATGGAGTTACAAAATTTAAGTAATAAATTAATACTTACACCATAAATTAGAATTATTTTTCTATTTGATTGCTTACTTTATAATCTTTTTTATATGTCAAATTCTAGGAATGATATTGCTGGCATTAATTGATTATATTATATTACATTGCATTATAACCTATTTGTTGAATCAAAGCCTGCTCTCTCATAGATCGCCATTCCTCTCGGTTTCCTGCTGCTACCTTCCAGTTGCAGACACCAAGCAGAGATCTTGCATCAGTTGTCACCCCATCCTCCCAGCAAAGCTTAGGATGTCCAGCTCTTCTTTTACTATATACACGCTCCAAACAATTTTTATGTGGAATTTCATTTGGTTATATCCTTGCTACATGGCCTGCCCAACAAAGCCTTGATAACTTAAGGTGCATACATCAAGATTTCCATGTACGACTCTTACTTCGGCATTATTCCTGCTTCTCCATGTGCCTTGTTAATAAATATTCCACCGTATATTCTTCTTAGCGCCTTCCTCTCAAATCATTAGGCACTGTCCAACACTCTGAGCCATATTTAAGGACCAGTCGGATAAGTGTCTTATCAATTCTTGTTTTTGCATCCCTTCATAATTCATTATTTTTTAACAGCTTCTGGAAGATGACATATGTGCAATTTGCTAGAAGTATTCGCCTTAGTATCTCTTCTTCTATATTATTTTGACAGTTTACTTGGGTTCTTAAATAGATGAATGATTGAACTCTTTCGTATCTATAATTTCCCAACAAGATGTATCTCTTATCATTTTTACTATTGGGTAGAGTGCACATATATTCATCTTTTCTCCATTTATGATGAGCACTAATTGTGCTGCTGCATGCTCCAGGTCCTCAGAAGCTATTCTCACTGCGTCGATAGATCTTTCAGTTAGGTCTAAGTCATCTGCGTATCCAAGAATCTATCTTGTCTTGTTTATTAAGGTCCTAGTTGTTAGGATACCTGAGTCTCTAATTGCTTTCTCCTGAGAGAGGTTAAATAATAGGCATGCAAGGTTATCTGTCTCCTGTCTCAGTGAAAAATCCTCTCGAGAGTTTCCCATTCATCTTTACAAAGTATATATTGCCCTCCATTGTCATCCTACAAAATAACCTGTTTTAAGGAAATATACATGTCCATCATCACTTTGTAAGCCTCATCTCTGTTGACAGAGTCATATGCCTGTTGAAAATCTATAAAAAGTTGATGTGTTGTAATCTGATATTCCTTTGTTTTCTCTAATAGGGTGCGTAGAATGAAAATTGGATCGGACGTGGACTTGCCTTTTCAAAACCCAAATTGATATTTTCCCAGTTTGGGTTCAGTATGTGATGTGGAATGAGCCTGTAAAATAAAATAATGGAAAAGATATTGTATGCGCTTGCGAGAAGTGAGATCCCTCTATAATTGTTTGTACATCTCCTTTCTTATGAATAGGACAAATAATCACTGTATTCCTGCAATCAGGTGTTAATCTCTCTTCTCTCCAAATATCATTTATCATTTAACTTTTTTCTTTTTCTTTTTTTTCTTTTTCAGAAATCTGTTGAAAAGAGCAAATTAAGAATTGTGCCAGGTAGTTAGCATGACTCTGATCTGTCTTGGCATTAAGATATCTACAGATAATTATCATTCTATTCTTAATTTACTCTTTTCAACAGATTTCTGCAAATCTTAATAGAACTGCTCCTTGTCAGTGGCAGGTGTGGGGGCTTAGATCTGAATGATTTTCGAATTGTGAATTGGACTTTAGCTAGTGTGATGTGGATTGATACTTCTTCCTAGATTTATATTCCATCAAACAGTTCATCTTTCATAGCAATCGTTACTCTCCCTTTGGCTCTTTCTCTTCCATTTACTCCAGAATATATTATCAAGAATCCATTGGGTAAAAGTGTTGAACCATTTCCTTTCTTCTAATGTTTGTTTAGGCCAATAATTTCTACTTTCTACTATTTGATTTCATCCGCATGTTCTATTTCTTTAACAGAGAACTACAAGAACTTAATTTTGACATCGATCTAAATGACCTCTAGAAAACCATTATTCTTTCCAGTGTCAAAGACACATAAGGTATGAACAAAATTAGACCCCAAACTAAGTGCTAAATAGTGGAATGGTGTAAGGTGTGGAAGTACAAAAAGCTGTTACACAAAAGAAAGAAGAATGGCGATATTAGAAACAGAATAAATCCCAGACATATTTGGATGAATATTTTAGAAAGATAAACAGTGCCATGCAAGTAGTCAAAGAAGCTAAAGTGAGATCTTGAGAGAAATTCGGAAAAGAGATCCAATGTAATTTGGAAGAAAATCAGAGGAAATTCTTTGAGTATTTTGGGTGGATTAAGGGATTTAGAGGAAAGAAAAAAAAAACAAGTTAGAAGTGTGCAAGATAGTTATGGTGATCTACTGACCCTGAACAAGGAAATAGTCCAGTCAATGACTGCTTAAAAAGGGGGTATAGAGGGGCTGACTTCTAATGGCTTGGTATAGAAAGGTAGCAAGGAATTACTGACGGCGGTAGGATGGAAAGAGCCACTTCAGCTCAGTGTAATACTCGGTAATATGCGTATCTCTTGAAATCCCGAAGACAAAACGTATCGAGCAATTAATTAGGAGTTTAAGTTTGACTTCGAGTTCTCCTGAGAGTCCACCGCACACCATACAACTATAGTCGAAGTGGGGGAAAATAAGAGAGGAAACCAGGAGTTTGTTTTTGTATGGAAGGAGATACTGTTGGTAGTTGAACTGTTTTGGGGTAGAAATAGTACAATGGGAAATTTGGGAGATGTGTGGTTTGCAGGAGAGGGTTTTTTCAAAAATAACACCAAGGTTTTTATAGAAGTTTGGAACGAAATAGGTGAGTTGTTTAGGAGAAGATTGGGAGGTACAAGATTGGATTTTATGAGTGCAGAGGATCCAATATGGATAGCTTTCATCTTCTCGGCGTTTAGGGTGAGTGTATTGCGGTTTGCCCAAGCACAGATTCTGTCTACATCTTCTTGAAGTTGTGGGATTGCTGCAGTGGAATCAGCCAGATCGAAGGAAAGGTAAATTTTTACGTCATCGGCATACAGGTGTTATTGGCAGTGCCAGATGGAGGACAGAAGGTCATTGATATAGATGGAAAAAAGGGTCGAAGATAAGGAGGACCCCTGGGGAATGCCTCTGGACAAGGATAGAAACTCTGATGGGAGATTATTATGGACTACATCATACTGGGAGGGACATAAGGATTGGAACCATTTACGGACATTAGACGATAAGGAGATATTTTTAAGTTTATTGTGATCGTGTGCACTGCACCGCCGTTGCAACCTGATATCTGGACAAATGATATAAAAATAGCCACGAGTTCGCGTCCCGGTGCCGAGGGAGTCTTTTAAATCCCCGCCCACACTCCCTCGCCCGGGAAAACCCCGTGTAGCCTTAACGGCAAGGTAGGGGAGGACAAAAAAAAAAAAAAGTTTATTGTGATCTACTGGGTCAAAGGCTTTGGAAAAATCAAGAAGAATAAGGATGGTGAGTTTCTGTTGGTCTATAGCTGTATGGTGATCTTGGAAGATTTTAATGAGTACGAAATGGGTGGAGTAGTCAGGTCTAAAACCGGATCGGTGGTAGTTCAGAAGGTTATTTTGCTCAAGATAGTGGGATAATTGGGATTGAACTAATCATTAGGGTTTGTAGGTCATTTTTCCAGATGTTCGGAAAAGTTGAACTTAGCAAACAAGAAGTTATAAATATAATAAAGGATAGGAAGAATGGAGGGAAGTGAGGATTTGATCAATTTAACCGGAATGTTGTCTGGTCCAAAATCATTGGTTTGGGATTAAGGAGGATGAAATTAAGGAGGTCATTGGGAGTAATATGAGAAAAGAAGAAATGATTAGGAATAAAGGCGGAAAGAATGGGAGTCAGAGGTGAAAGAGGAATGGGAGGGGGAGGAGACAAAGTGAGTTTTTAATAAATATTGATTAATTTAGAGAGAAAAAAATGTTCATCTCATGTTTTTATCTTTGTTTAACCAGCCAACTCATTATCTGTTGATTCTACAACAAAATAATTGGGAAGAAAGTTATTGAGCATCATTTTTATTTAAAAATCATATTGTATCGTTATCTTATCTTCTTCCTTTCTAAAGTTAGACCAATTATGTTTGAATGTGTAAATTATGAGATTTTGCAGATAAACTTTATTTCCATTTTTATAGATAAATAGTATGTAATATATACAGAGATGGGCAAATGCTATCCTGAGTACCGAGTACCAAGTATTTCACTCAAATACTTACCTTTTTTGAGTGCCAAAGAATTTAGTTACTACTTCAGTTGATGTCAAACAATTAACTGAAGTAGTGATTGAATTCCCAATAGTGATTCTATTTGAGTAAAATACTTGGAATTAAATAGCATTTGCTCATCTCTGAATATATGTATAAGTAGAACTTCAATATTAAGTTAGAAATTATACTGGGTGTCCCGTAAGTAGAAGGAAATGTTTATAGGAGTGATAGCAAACCTATAGAGCTACAAAAAAATTATATATAAACATTAGTCAACAACAAACAATTTTCGGCAGGTAAGTTGGAAATTTAAATTTTGTGTTCTTTTAAGTAAGTCACGTACGTTTTTTGTTGAATGAGTAGTGATAACTAAAAGAAAA